GAAAGAAAATAAGCTGAAAGGTCTCTTTATTATAGTGTTTTATGTGCTAAAATGAAGGGACTCACTATCGGACTCAGAAAGGAAAAATAGAAACTGATGCTAATTGGTAACAATCATCATCGTCAATGAAACGAATAAAACAGCCTGGTTGCAATGCCTAGGATCAATCGAAAATATGTGGAATCAAGGTATATTTAATTTAATATATTCTGAGCTTGAGTTCCGAATTGATTTGGAAAACTGCAACTGTTCTCAAGCAAACGATAGCTACGTGAGTATGGCCCTTCTCGGAGGGAGGGGGAAGGCGATACCAGCACATTTGAGCCTAATTTATTTATTTATATTTTCTTTAGCTGACTGCAATCACTGGGAATTTTAATCGCGAAATCCAAGATGGCCAGGTGCACTGCCTGGTTTAATTCGCAAGTGAGCCATTTTCTGATCACTGTTGGGTACACCCTGTTGCTCCAATCCATTTTAATTGAGACTCAAGTAGTACGTAGGTGGTGGTCCACCACCTACGTTTGGGGAAAGAGCTGGTGGCCCACCACCTTTACTAGGTTGTGGGCCATCAGGTACATGTTCCGCTTGCCAGCACTGACCCGGCACCTTCCAGACCGCTAGAGGGCCAGCACATTACCAGTTAGTTCGTTTGTGGTGTACCACCAGCTGGGAAGGGACCTAATGCCCCCATGCATATGTGATTCACCTCTATAACTTGAAGCTCTAGTCAACTGAGAAGAGTTTCCACGAGTACTAAGATGACCCACTACTCTCCTATTCCGCACCCAATGCGGAGCCCTAAGGTAGTGGGAAGGACTCTACGAGTACCGTGTCACATCATATATAATACTTTTATTTAGTATTAAGAAACAAAAGTAGTCTACCCGTCCCCAGTCCCGCACGCTCCTATATTCCCGTACTTAACTTCAGCATTTAATAATTCTCTGAGTCTTGTATTGCAATCAAAAGTCGTAATTCCACTCTTTCCTCATATATGTTTATAAATTGCACGATAAGAAGAGGAAAGAGGGGAAGAAACACTTTTTCTAAATCAGGAAGGCAGATACTTCATTGCAATTGTAGGGTTCAGGAAAAAGGGGTACCATACAGTGGAGACTCTTGGTACTGCATCTGGGGGAGTGCCAGCTACATTATGGAAGAGAGCTGGTGACCCTCCACCTACACTAGGTAGCTGGCCAGCAACTGCACATCCTACTTGCCTCCATGGTCCAACCCCGGCAGAAATCCGCTTGGGCCGTTTATGGCCCACTACTTTTGTGCTACTTGGGGAGCTTCTTATGCTATGAATTTATCTATCCATTGGTCTTCCCAATGAATCCTCCCCCACCTCAAAGAACCCAGAAGAATCCCATCATACACGACTACCGTACGAATAATAGTGATTAATGATACGAAAGAAATTTTAAATACTCTAGTTTCCAGGCGCAGTCCAGGTTGGCTCAAAGGGAAACGTCACTTTCACTGATCAGAATTTTTTATTGATCGCGTAACGTTTTCACTGATGGGCGATAGCCATCGTAATCTCCGCTTGGTACTGTAACTGGCAGGAGCTCCTTGTTGTGCGTATCTTGTCCACTTACGTGGTATTCCCTCCAATTAAGTAAAACCTAAGTAATTTAATTGCTACTTACTCTTGAATAAGCCTATATAGGCCTACTGTACATAAAGACCCCGGAGAGGAAGACTATTGGTTTGATTCAAAAGTAAATTGTTCTCAATTTTGCTGCAGAAAAACGAGAGAAATGCTTGCCATAACATGAGGTTGACGATGAATTTCAATGTGGACTGTTACATGTTAATGGTATTATTCCTTTTGCAATCCACTTAAAAATAGTGAGTGCAAATAATACTAGTTGGTGACAAATATTACAAGTAATTTCACAATAATGCATTATAGAATGGCAATATGTTGCTATTAAGTTTCAAGCCATTGCCATTCTTCAGTAATTTATTGTGAAATGTTTTCAGGCAATTCAATGACTAGTTCAATCAATCTAATTCAGTTTACACTTCAATTCCGTTCAAATTGACCCATCAATGCTTTTAGATGGTTTGTAATTTTTTTTTTACCATTCTGTAAGCGAATAGGTGACAGAATAGGCGAGAAACAATTGCAGATCCGGCAGATTAAGTTTCGTTTTCGTCAATGTAGGAAGCTTAACATCTGTAGCGTATACGGTTTCAGTGTCATTTTCGATAGTTCGAAGGAGACATCTCCATCCCTCTACGATGTGAAACGGAATGCGATACACGACTACTGGAAGTAAGTTTCATCTAAGACTAGGTTTCATCAACGGAGAAGTTTTCCTTGAAGTCTCGTGTCGGAATGCAGATATAATTTGGAAACAGTTGCTGATGAAAATTGAGAGCTTCATCTCCAGTATCTTTCATTGTACAGTAGAGAGGATTGTGCACATACCAGGAAAGGAGAAAAAAAAGCGACGTTGTTGGAATGCTTATATCTAAAAACGGTGAAAGCTGTTGCTGTTTTTAGATATATAACTTGTAAATCTTCTGTGGTATAGGCCCTTGGTATGCATCAACGTTGTTTTCTATCAATATTATTTAGAAAATTTTCATAATTTTCCTCCTGCTGGTTTAGCCAAATAAGTTCGTTTCTAAAATATCTTAAAATCGTCGATAGTCATCGTTCTTTTAAATTAAGTCAGTGCATAGTTTCGAAGAAAACACGCTTCAATGCTGCTATGTCTGCCTAAGACAACTGCATGATCACAGCGTGGTGGACAAGCTGGAGCGAAAGCGATCAAGAGTACTGCCCGTTCTCGGCGTGAGGTTAACAACGGGCGGGGATTTCACAAATATTCACTCTCAACTTTCAAAATGCTTCTGTGGCTAAACCAGATGGAGAAAATTCTAAGGGCCGATTGTATGAACGATGTTTATTTTAGACATTGATTAGCGATAGTCATTGTTTAAACATTGTCTACGAAAACATCGGTTAACTGCTGTCTACTTTAGATTGCGTGAACGATCCCTACGCCATGTTTTCATAGCCGATGGTTAGACGATGGCTAAACACCCCTCATGGTACATATAGCACGTTCTGACTCCTCGGTTGTCGAGTAATATCCTTCGGACTCCACAAAAAACGAGCGAATCAAGTGAAAAAGGAGGACCTTTCCTCAGACTATTAAGTACATCTCGCAGAGCTTGTAAAGGAGAATCTCACGATAGAGAGAGACATAATGCACTTTCCTTGCACAACAAATAATAATGCCTGGAATGTGGTCAGTTCTCCTCTGACCTTACTCTGTATTTCGATATATCAGAGGTAAAGCCAAGGATTCGTTTTGGACACACGAAGTAGGAAATGTGAAAAATAAGGAGTATCATTTGTGTACGATTGCAAAATGAGGGTATTCGAGAATTACGCGTGGATACTGGTCACGTGATGACAAATTCAGTAATAATCCCTTCCTCATCGCGCACTGCTTGGACATCGATGAAACAGAAGCATTTGCGATTGATTAAAGTTGTCTGGGCATTCTATTCGAGTACGACAGTCGTCGATGACACCGATCACTCCTGGAAATCCGACAATATCAAATAATTATCTTCGTACAACTACTCCGTTTTTTCNGACATCGGTTAGACAATGGTTAAAGGAAGATAGCGTTCATGCAATCCATTTTTGGCCTTAGACATCGGTTAACCGATGACTTTCGAAAAACACCGGGAAAACATAGTTCATGCAATCGGCCCTAAGAATTTTTCTCTGGACGATAAGACATAGATACTTGTATCCTGGAACAAACATTACTGTAACAATGACCGATTTCCTGATACATAAATTCAAGCAGCAGCGGTATACTTCTCTCCGACGACCCAGTCTACTTTTCGAGGAAGGGAAGAGGGAGGGGGGGCTGTTAGCCGGAGTTATTTTGAAGGTAGGGGAAATGGTTTTTCACTTTCTAAGCTCTAAGGGAAACCCAAAGAATCTCAGGAAAAGCCAAACATTTACTTCCAACGCAGCCTGCAGTGAAGAAAGTTGCAATTGAAGTTAATGAAATTTGTGAATGAAATGTTAAAAAATGTCGCTCACGACGTTTAGCCTATTACCCCCCGTGCTGAGAGTCAGAGAATGTATGAACATACGTAAGCATACAAATGCCTGTAATTTGCATCCCGTTTCACTCTTGCCGCAGTAATCCAATTGACAAGGGCGTCCGAGCGCTTAATCTAATATGTACTCGTAACCCAATTTGATGCATGAATTTCAGTCGCCAGTTATGATTTTCTATTCCCCGTACGACAAAAATTAAAGAAGAAACGTTGGAGTCCAGATATGGGACAACGTACGTCCTTCCACGCGCTGATACAATCGCCTACATACAGTATTTCGTCTAGAACGCCGATTTCCACATGGCATTCATTCACTTTCTTCTATGAAAAACAACCTGAAAATGAATTTAAGACATTAATATGAAGTATAAGGTATAGGACGAGATTGCCAGAGCCAGGATTGCATCACCCTAGTAGACGTCACATGCAGACAATGTGTTCCTGGGAGAGAGGGATAGGGTCCGTGTAGAACACACGAGAAAGAAGTACGTGGCATCCACATGGCTCTCTACTTCAGACAACGACAGCCAATGGGAAGCGGCCACAATCTCTCACGTCACCGCCCCGCTCCTACCACGTTTCTCACACATGGCTGCCCCCTCGTGCCGCTTTCCATTCATCCCGTCCTCTATCCCCTCGTACAATCTCCATTCCAGGTTGGCGTCATCCTTCCAGTAGCCTGCACTTGGGCAGGTTATTGGAAGCCTTGTGGAAGCCATAGACCCTGTGGACCTATTGGCTTGCTTGAACTTCCCTAAACTATTGCCATAGGGATTTCGTTTGGTTGGTTTGCCTGTTAGTAAACGTTAGACCTAAGTTAGGCCGATAGTCTTAACTAAGCCTATGCTTGAATGTTCGTTCAATATGGCCTTGGGGTTCAAAATGCTAATCTAATGGATGTGTATTTATTATTAACTATTATGCTGTAACAGTTGCATTGGAGATTATCACACTAAGTTAGAGTGCGAGATTTGAAGTTTCAATGTCAAATTGTGAATTTAGGATAAGGGCCTGCCCTTAATGTTGAACATGACACCCAGAGTAATATTTTTGAGATATGAAATGTATTTAAATATGTTATAAATGACAAATCAGTATACAAAGGCCATTAGCATTAGCATTACCATTTGCATTAAGCAGTGACTGAAAATTCCATAATCCCTAGTCTTGCACACTGTCTTTTGTTAGAGTTGGACCTGTGTGAAGAAAAATGTTGGATGTGACAGGAAATTGTCTGATGTTTTGAGAATGCATTTTTTGCACGTAGGCAAGAAAGCTCTACATATATATTTTAAATTTATTTTAGTCGTAATTCAAATGTGAACAATTGACTTCTTCACACCTGAGCTGATTTGAAATTATCAATATGCAAGGGAGAACCTATGCTGAAATCTGTTCTAGTAGTCCAATTCAGTCTCCAGATTTGCATTTCCATCATATACATGAATCTCATGAGAATGATATGGGTAATAATAAATGTAATCAAAATGACTAATTCATTCATTTTTAAGGATAATATTCTCTTTAATTCAAGCCTTTAGGGAAAGGAACTAATGAACTATTGTAGAGGAAGTATTACTTGGAATTTTAGAGAAATAACTTGCTACAAATCTTCAGACCACTTCATGTGGAGAAACCCATGAGTGACAAATTTCCACTAAGCATTGGTATAAGAAAGGAGGGAAGGGAATTATACACAGTTACTCCAGTACTGCCAAGACATGGGGTACTGTATAACTGTACCCCTTTTTGTTCAGAATATTCATTTACCTGTTCTACTGTAAACATATATTGTACCTTACTAAAAGTAACTTGACCATTCCCCAATTGACCTCAACCTTTTGAGCTAAAGTCAATCACTGGTTACAAGTGAAGGAAAAGATACTGAGGTTCCAGGCAAGATTATGGACACTCCCCTTGTTATACTGTGCTCAATTTTTCATGAAGGAGAATTACTCCTGATGCCAGCCAATCAAGCTAAGTGTTGTCAATGTTTAGGAAAATTTGAACTTGAAGATTTTGCCTCACCCCCTTACACTCCAGACCTGAGTCCTTGTGATGTCTGTCTGTCTCCACTTATAAAGAACAAGCTCTTAGTGGAATGCAATGACAGTCCAGATGAAGTGGCTGCAGAAGGAGCCATGATATCAAAGGGTATCCAGTAAAACAGGGTTCATTGAGGGAATGAAGCAGACTGGATTGCTGACCCTGCTGTATCCTGTTCAAGGGACATTGCTTCTAGCAGGGAAGCAACTGCATTATTTTATTCTTACTGTCTTACTTTCAGACTTTAAGTGGTTAATGGGTGGCAAAAATTTGCTCTACATATGGTCCAAAATGAACAGTTCTGGTCTCCGATAATATAATTCTATCCTCACAACCCTGGGAGAGTGAGTATGCATGTATTTTCTACCTATAAGGGCAAAGTAGCATTTAGTAACACATTGGATGCATTATTACCTTGCATGATACTTCCCTCCCTAGTTCTTATTGTTTTTAACTGTTATTGATCCCAGGACCTGAAATCTCGCCCTACGTTGACATTGGAATGCAAATGTGATAGTACTTATTGATCTAAATGCCCCACATATTATTGTAATGTAAGATGCCATCCATGGAATCATATACAATGGACCCCATACAAGAATTCATAGATACTATTCAGATATAGTCTAATCCAAGCTGGCTTGCATATCTGATTGCAATAAGTCAGTTTGTGAATTAATGAAAGTCTGTTGTTCAACAAGTCATAGGTTAGCAACAAACCCTAAATCAAGAAATTGATTTTCTCAAATATGAATTGCAAAGTTGAAGGATCCTTTTTAAAATACCTTTTAATTCTTGCTGTACCTTAACTAGGTCTTAGAACAACCATCAATCACTGAATGAATCATATGCGCTTCTTAAAAGATTATAGTCATACTGTCTCAAAGAGATAGTAAATGATATCAATATATCTAACATTTCCTGATTTCATTTTTGTACTCCCTATGTTGGAATCATTGAATCCTGAATTGTATATCATAAGAAATGTTTTGCACCTAAATTACCTGCTATAGATTCTTTATTTCTCTCAAATATTAAGGGAAGGGAAACTTTTTTAAAAAGTATAGCAACATTAACACTGTGCATGTTTAATATTGGATATTAATTTGTTGGCTCCACCCTCCTTGTTTGCCATGATCAGCATTGACAATGGCCAATGTGTGTTCATTGGCTAGTGTCAATGCTTACTAATGTCTCAAGAGCTTCTTACTAGAAATACAGGAAGATTTTTCATTTTCCCTTATTCATCCTTCCATTTGGTAAGTTCTTGTCAGGTGACTTGATTGTTGACATTGTTGCTTGACCTTAATAGATATTATTGAAATTTGGAACAGATATAGTGTTTAGTTCCCAAACCTGAAATCCAAACTATTTTTGTTCTAGCCTATGGCTAGCTCAGGGTGAGGGTTCATAGTTTGATCCCAATTGCTGACCTGGAAGACTTCCTTGAATAGTTTAAGGTATAATTGAGGTGCTCTTTGGAGAAAAGGCAAATGTACTAAACTCACAATTCAAAATAAGCAGCAAAATCTCCTCACAGCTCATCCGAGACTGATCTGTATCCAGTTTTCTTTAATATGGTATCCTCTTACTTGAACATCAAGCTTAACCCTTTGTTGCATAAGAGCTAACTATATGAGATACAATGGTACTGCGCAATTCCACTGTTCAAAGGACATTTGCAAGTTTACTTTGTATTGTCTTATCTCTTAACCTCAAAATTTAGCATGATTATTTGCACATTTTTATGACTTCTCCTGCCACATTTCATCTATAATAATCTCTTGGAGTGTTTCAGGTGATTAACATGACCGTAAAGCCACTATTGAAATTGGATTTTTCTGCAATGTTTCTTTGTGAATATTCATCCCACACCCTTGAAACTAATTTATTTTGTGGTATACTAGTATGAGCTTGTGTACCAAATTTCATCAGTATTGCTCAACTCCTTGATTGTGTTTTCTTTTGCCTGAGTATTATTACTGGAAAAAAAAGACATGAATGAAAAAGCACTTCTTAAAAGTATTCTTTGACCCTTTCACTCCCAAGCAGAATTGTATTCTATTAGGAAGAGCTGTTATTTCGAAACCATGGGATTCTAAGGGTTAATAAAGGATTGACGAAAGAGGAGTATCCTGGCATGAATGATGTCCAGGGCCTCTGCCATGTGCCTGAAAGTAATAGGCTTTGCATTCTGCCTTGACATACACAATTTTCAAATGGGGTGTCCAAGATGTTTGTTATCCCCAAGTGCTTGATGTCTGCATATGTGGAAAAACAAGTATAGGAGGTATAGTAGTCAATAACATGTCTATGAGGAACATGTGGTTGGTCCAGAGATAAGTTTGTTCTCTCAGAAAGGCATTCCAGGGCTTTTGCAACAATTCAAAAAACCTTTCTGTGCATATTAAATTAAATATTCAGGAAGACACTGGAGTGTGGCAGGGTAAATTGTCTCAAATTGTATTATATAGTTGAGGTATCTGCAAATAAGGAATGATGTTTTTGGGAAAGCTTTGAAAATGGGACTGTAAAATCCATACTATTGACAATTTTACAGCCATATTTGTTTTGTCATTTTTGTACATAAAAGAAATAATAATTTGGCTTGTACTCAATCTCTTGGTTTTAGAAAACCCTTCTCTAAAGAAATACAAGGAAAAAAGGGATTCAGAAAAGCATTTGACAGTCTTGGTCTCCCTTATTTAAGCATCACCATTGTTTCATTTTCTTCTTCTTCAGACATTCATTCATAGATTTGGATGACTGGTCCTGCCATTTTCCTCCCCACTAGTGGCCATGATAAGATGGTTGAATGCCTGCTTACCATGTTGCAAGAGCATGAGGAACATTGCTATCATTATGCTGCAAGCACATCTGAACCACCTCATAATCACTATCCTATTACATGTGTCATGAAGCAGTGCACAAGCATGGATATGGAAAAAGAGCATTTGGGGGCTTATGTCCTTTTTTCAGAGAGATCAATTGTCTTTGAAGGTTTAACATGAAATCATTCTAAAGCTCTCTCTTTGCTCTATATGCTCCACCATTTTTTCATTAATGTCAATTTAGCAGCACAACATAAGGAAGGTCCTGAGAGATTCCTGAGGAGGTAGGTATGAGTTATATTGGATTAAACTCCAACCTAAAGTTTGAAGAAAAGCCATGCAAAGAGGTAAGCTATAGCAGTGCTACCATCAACTCCCCATGGCAGTGATAATACCTTGCCTATCCTTAAAAATGACACATCAGAGCTATTTGCTTCATATCTATTCTTTTTCCAGTCTGTCATATCCTTATTATGATAGGGACCTTCATGGATATTGAACTCCTACTCTGGGTACATCTAGGTATTAAACTTTCAGGTTCAAACTTTCAAACTTTCTTTTGTTTGTGCAGTTGGAGCTGATTGTTTCCCTGAATTTCACCTGAGAATGAACACTGCAGACTCCATATTTTGTGGACCTTTCAAAAACAGTTTCTGATATTAATTTTTTGTGTTTGCCTTATTTCTACTCTTTTGAATGTGTGCATAGCCTGAGTTGGCTACTTCTCACCTAGCTTAAAACTGTTGTATCTGGGCAGCAGAATGGAGACATTGTCCAAAGCAGGAATTGGAATTCTGATGTGCTTGTTATGCACATTGACTGTAGTGCAAAGTGTGGCTGTGATGAGTGTTGATTTGGGAACTGAATGGATGAAAATTGCAGTTGTTTCGGTGAGTGAAATTGAGATTATACATTGGTTATCCAGTGGTTTTCAGGTATTCAAGAATGCTTTAGTCATGATCTGTGTGCATAGATTATTGTGTAACTTGGAAGTGTGATCTATTTTATTCCAGCCAGGGTTACCCATGGAGATAGTATTGAATAAGGAATCCAAGAGGAAGACACCAGTGGCTGTGGGATTTCGAGATGGAGAGAGGGTGTTTGGAGAGGATGCAATAAGTTTAGGAGCTCGTTTCCCAAAGAATGCCTACGTTTATCTCCTTGATGTGCTTGGAAAAACTCTAGAAAACCCACTTGTCAAACTCTATCAGCAGCGATTCCCTCAATATGAAGTTGTTGCAGATCCAGAAACTGGTCTAGCTGCCTTCCAACATGATCAGTGAGATTTCCTTTGTGATGAACATAGATTTTATGTTCTTTCATACTGGTATATGAGGCTTGCATACTTGTCCAGCAAAACATATTTAGGGTACTGCTTCAAGGATTTGAATGCATGTACTGAAAAATTATTTCACATCTGCATTGATCTGTACTTGTGGTTTTGTTTTACTTCTACAGGGATACAGTGTACACCCCAGAAGAATTACTTGGGATGATTCTACGGAAGGCAAAGGACTATGCAGAGGAGTTTGCACATCAGAAACCCATAAAGGATGTGGTCATTACAGTTCCAGCATACTTTAATCAGGCAGAAAGAGAAGCTCTTCTGCGAGCTGCATCATTGGCCAAACTTAAAGTACTTCAGATCATCAATGATAATTCTGCAGGTATTTCCCATCTTGCATTGATTTGAGGGAGAGTCATCCCTTTTCATTTGCATCTCTTGTGGTTGCTGCAAGAACTTTTATGCTTTAGTTTTAGTCCCCTAAGTGTATACCGAGAAGCTCTCAGGATCTCTAGCTACTCTAGGGATACTTTTATCATTGGCAATATTAAAGGGGGAATAGTGGAGCAGCTTCAGAATAGATTTTGGCTTGCAAATGAATGTGAATGACAGTGAAATTGTATTTCTTACAACCCAATGAATTTTTTTTCTGTGAGCATAGGGAATATTTACTTTGGTTACAAGATAAATAGTTTCCTTCAATATCTTCTCAAAGCATTAGTTTGCAAATCAAAATATGTATTTCCATGATATTTCCATGCATACAGTAGTATTTATGCTGCATTGTTCTACTTGGCTGATCGTGGTCTAGAAATTGCTCCATGTAGGAGCAATTACTATTCCTTACTATTGAGCTCCTTACTATTGAGCTCCTTACTATTGTGTGTGAAAACTGCTTTGGTCCTGGGCAATAAGAGAATATTAATTTCTTCCCAATTTAGTGGCCTTGAATTATGGGATGTTCAGGAGGAAGGAGGTCACAGAAACGGCTCAAAATATCCTCTTCTATGATATGGGTGCCTCCAGCACTGCAGCAACCATTGTCTCCTATCAGATGATTAAGACCAAGGAGTCTGGAATCACTGAGACCCATCCTCAGCTCTCCATCATTGGATATGGGTATGACACTGGCTGAAGTGAAGTTGCCCTTCACTTCCTTGGCAGCTGCAAATTTGTATTTATTTCTTTAAATATAAATTTAATAATGGAATGAGTTGTATTAATAGCCCTCAAGAATTGTTTAATTATTGTTACATTGAAGTATTTATGGAATAATCAGACTCTCAGGTGCTAAGCATTCCAGTTTTGCTCATGTAGCAGGTAATGCATCATTGAATGAGCTTTTCTCTATTCTAAACAGCATAGAGCAGTTTGATTTGAAAGGCTCTATGATGCTCAAGAATAATTTTTCCCAATTGCTAGAGGCAATTTTGGCAAATTTTCAAGAGCCTATGACATCAATTGGTTATTCTCTACTGCAGAGATGTGTTATGTGCTGCCAAATTTCAAAGCATCATGCATACTTAGGTTGAAGAAACCTAAGAAGCTTAGGAAGGAAGGGATGAGGTCAAATGACCTCATCCCTTCCTTCAAATTCATGTTAATCATATTGTCTTTCTGTCTGAGTTTTTTACATTTGATTCTCTTTAATTTCAGGATAATTCACCTTTGTGAAACCAAATTGTTAATCACATAAACTTATTATTTATATTTATTACTATGCACAATAAATTGAAGCATTATGGAGTCAGTCATGGTCATGACTATGAAATGGGACAACTAAGGATAAATTGACTGCAATGCCAATGGAAATCAATCTCAAGAGGAGAAAAATTTATAGAGTATGGTGAAAAAAACACAAATGACTTTTAACTTGTATATGTCTGGCCCTCACCAGTGCTTCTTCCATGGAACACTATGCACAATAATGACATCTTCCCAGCAGACTTTTAAAACTTTTTCCAAATTGATATTGCCAAAGCAAGATCAAGAGCAATTATTCCTTGCAAATTGGAAATGGACTGGGGACTCCAATCCATTCAGAGTGCCTCATCCCCTGAAGTTCCAGGTCCTCCTGCCTTGTTCTCCAACAAAGATCAAGGAAAAACCTATGTGAAAATTATGAGCAAGTTCTCTGTGTTGATACTTATTGAATCAATTAGTATAAAAAATTAATTTGGATAAAACTATAAAAAAAATTCTGCAAGAAGCATTCTATCTAAAAATTTAATTTCAATGGAAGAGACATTTGATAAGCCTGGATGACATGTAGGCAGAGTGCTTGTTCATTTTCATTATCCAAATTCTTTTTAATTATTGCTTGTAGAGGAGCAGTAAATTTGGAATACATATTTGAAGTTGTTAGGAACATATCCATCTATGCAAAGTAAAAGTTTGTGAAAATAGCTCCAGTGATATATTAGTTAAAAGTCATTGGTCGTATTATTTTGCCCTACCCTGTTGTAGGGGTTCCTGCATGGGAAGGGGCAATGGCTGATTAATGGTGAAAAATGAGTAGTATCATGTTTTCCTCTCAAGCCTTTCAATAAAGAGGAAAGGGAAGTGTAAGTCTTAGGTGAACTTTATTAGGTATGATCGAACACTTGGAGGCCTGGAGATGCAGCTAAGACTCCGTGATCATCTTGGAAAATTGTTTAACAATCAAAAGAAGACTTCAACTGATGTGTTCTCTAGTCCTCGAGCCCTGGCCAAACTCTTCAAAGAGGCTGGTCGTATCAAAAACATCCTCAGTGCCAACATAGACCATGTTGCTCATGTTAGTTGATCCTTTTCACTCCTGCTTTATGAACAAATTTTTTTTAAAGTATGCTGTGCCTAAGTGTCATGGCATGGAATGGATTTTGTTTCAGGTGGAAGGGTTGTTGGAAGATCATGATTTCCAGGCTCCTGTGACACGTACTGAATTTGAAGAGTTATGTAAGGATCTCACAGAACGTGTTCCTAATCCCATCAAGCAAGCTTTGTCTACTTCAGGGCTAGACATGGCTGAGATCTCTCAGGTACCATACTAATCCAAAGTCTGTAGTTGTTGCTTTTTTCTTGATCATACGACTCTTCAAATCAGAGGGTTTTTTTTACAGGTGATTTTGGTGGGTGGTGGGACTCGCATGCCAGCTGTGCAGGAGAAGCTCAAAGAGGCTATCCCAATGGAACTTGGAAAGTCATTGAATGCTGATGAGGCAGCTACCATGGGAGCTATTTATAAAGCTGCTGACCTTGGTCAGGGATTCAAAGTAAAAAAGTTCCTAATCAAAGATGCAGCTTTTTTCCCTATCATGGTGAGAAAAATAAAGACATTTTCAGTCTATGGCCTACTTCTAAAAAGACCTGGCAGTAATATTTCAAATTGCATTAATTCTTGATGTGATTTTAATTATTTTCTTCTAGAGGAACACCTCCATGTTTCTCAATCCATAATGAGTAAGTCAAAGAAGTGTGCTACACAACTCCAGTTTCTGAGGGGAAATTAAAGAAATGACATGTATGGATGTACAAGGTGGGCTAAAAAAAACAAAGCTATCATTCTTGGTGAGTCATCAATCTGATTGTAGGCTGCCAATTCTGATGAAATTTGGTGGTCTTATAGAGTGACACAATTGGTTTGTGTACCTTCTGACTCTAAAATGATAGGAGCTGTAATTATTTTCCAATAACGAACCAAAAAATGGACAGTTGAAAATATCAATATTAACTTGAGGTCTGTATGGAATACATTATTGCCTGCCATAATAAGCTAAGTTAGTTTGTAAGCTAAGCTAGGCTAAGGCCAACATACTTACAATAAATACATAAAAAGAAGCCTAGGTTAGCTCATTGAATATCAAGTGGGATTTCAAATTTTCTAAAAATTTGATATATTTCTTTCCTTGTGTTTTAGGAATAAGTGCATTGTCAAAAGTGCCTAATATAAGTGACAAGATCTTGCTTTTATTAAAAACTTGCAGCTTGAAAAAGGATATGGTGCGAGGAAAATGATGAGTGAATTTTAAAACAGAAATTGGTGAAAGAGTGGGCTTGAACATGTTATCTAAAAAAAATCAATGAATCTGGTGGTGAAATTTTAGGCTTACATTTTAAAATGAACACTTCTGTGATCTAAAATAAACTAAATCCTATTTTCACAGTCTTTGGAATTTTTATGTTAAACTTGGCACACAAACCCAAATTGAGCCACCCTATGTGTGTACCAAATTTCATCAGAATCGACAGTATACAGTGTACAATCAGATTGCTCACTCAGCAAAAATGATAGCCTAGTTTTTTTAATTTTGGCCTACCCTCTATATATGGATGATTGAGGGAAAGAGAGGGGAACACACAAGCTATGCTTTCAGCATGGTAGCCCTTAAATACATACAGAGGGAAGGAAGGAAGTAATACGGCAAAGAAACACAGTATGAAGTTGTGTGGCATGCCTCCTTGACTTATATTTTCTTCTAGTTCTGAATTTATTGCCATGATTTTAAAGTTGAGTCATTGCATGTGTTCGTGAATGACATCAGAATCTTTAGGAGTGAGGATATGAAATTTCTATTATTCCATCAGGTGGACTTCTCTCGAGAAGTGGATTCTGATGAAGGAGAGAAGGGAATCAGAAATGTGAGACGAACTCTGTTCTCCCTCATGAATCCATATCCTCAGAAGAAGGTCCTCACATTTAACAAGCATCAAAATGACTTTGAATTCTTTGTTAATTATGGAGACCTTTCTCATATCCCAGAAGTAGAGATCTCGTGAGTTCCTCATTTACTAGAGAGATATTGGCCATGCTCTATTTTGTGAAAAAGTAGATCCTGATGGTTATTTCTTGTATTCTTTTAGGTATTTGGGATCTTTGAATCTATCAAGGTTTGAAGTGAGTGGAGTGGAGGCTGCAATTGGAAAAGGAGGCAAGGGGAAAGGGATAAAAGCCCATTTCTCCATGGATGAGAATGGGATCTTGAATCTGACTCATGTAGAATATGTATATGAGACCACTATTGAAGAAGTGGTTAAGCATGAGGAATCAGCCTTCTCTCGACTTGGTAGCACCATCCGTGGATTTTTCAGTTCTGGTAGGTAATGTAGGTGCCCTTCCCAAGTATCCAAATTGCAGGTGTGAAATGGGGAATAGCAATAATTGATGAAAGGTCTCCCTGTGAGGATCAATTGTCTTCATGTACATCTGTCAGTTCTGAATTCTGGCAACATTACAGGGTGGTCCACAATTGTCTCCCCAAAAGTAAAAGCTTACTACTCAGGAAGTATACGGTGATTTTAATGATATTTGACTCAAATGGTAGCCAATTCAATATAGTTTTATGGTGGAAAATTTCAGCATTCCATAAGAAACTAGAACAAAGTTACTCCATAACAAATGAAAGTACCCATATTATGCAACTAAAGTCTGTAAATATCACAATCTCTTCCGAATTTCGCAATTCCATCTTGAGTTTTGCAATTCATTCGCGGGTTTTTCATGCATTGCAAAGGATTGTCTATTTCATGGATGACCACAGTACCCTGCAGAAGATGATTACTGCCATTTAGTTTGATAATTTGAAGCGCAAATTTGTGTGGGGAAAATTAGGAAATTTCTTCAGTTTGGGTCCCAATGCCTCAGTTCTGGATGAGAAGATCATGAAGGCAATTATTAAGAGGTTTCTGAGCCTGAAGAGATTCATCGGCAGACTTATGAAAACTTAGATATGCTGAAATAGACCATTAGAGATGCCTTCACCACAGTAGGACCAGATGTGATTGATAGAATTCTGCTGGCATTCAAAGAACAATTGCACTAAGTCATTGACAATTGTGGAAGTCATATTGAACACTGGTGATTTGGTGGCTTTTATTTGTAAGGATGTAACTTTGTTCTAGTTTTTTATGGAATGCTGAAATTTTCCACAATAAAAATATATTGAATTGACTATCGTATGAGTTATATATAATTGAAATCGGATGTATACTTCCTGAGTAATGAGCTTTTACTTTTGGGGAGACAATTGTGGACCACCCTGTACATGTGTCTGTCTTTTTCAGAACAGCATCATGTTGCTATTCAGCAATATTTTCTTCTGTTCATTTATTGTACACTTCACAATGTGCAAAACTGTTGCTCGTGATGTTTGCACAATCATATATTTATAGTGCTTTGTTAATTCTTAAGTTGTTTTCTTCATGCCTTATCAGTTCTTTCTGCTTCTAAAGGAGATGAGAAGAAAGATGAGGATGGGACTGGAGAGGGAGAAAAGGAGAATGCAACTGGAAGCTCAACAGAAGAAAACCAAATGAATGAAACACAGAAAAAGGAAGAAGAGATGAGGAAAGAGGAAGGGAATGAAACAGAGAAAGAAAAAGAGAAAGAGAAGGAGAAGGAGAAGTTTGAAAAGAAGCAGGTGAATGTGACACTAAAGGAGCCCTTGATTGTGAGAGAGGAGTATTTAGCTCTCAAGACTCCCTCTGAAGCTGCTTTTGCTCAATCCCAGCACAAGTGAGCATGGGAAACTACAGTGTATATCTCATCTGGTGCATTCATTTACCTAATTGGAATTAAATATTTAATGCATTATTCTCAGGTTGGATGAGCTTGAGAAGGCTGACCAGCAGAAGCAAGAAAGAGAACAGGCTCGCAATAACCTGGAAAGTTTTGTTCTGGAACTCCAGGAGAAGTTTGAATTGAAAGACTTCATTGAAGCCTCATCTTCTGATGAACGCTCAAAAATTCTCCAGAGGGCTTCTGAGGTAGGGTCAATTTTTTACTATTCCCCATCATCTCAAATTATTCATTGATTTGGCTTTTGATGGGCCTGGAAATTTGTTCTAATCAGAGTCCTTTATTTTTCACAGCTCTCAGATTGGTTGTATGAGGAAGGCTTTGAGGCTGAAGCAGGAAATTACAAAATGTATGTGAAAGAGTTAAAGGGACTGAGCAAGGATATTTATGAACGTGTAGCTGAACACAATAATCGGCCTCAGGCTCTGAAAGCTTTGGATGAAATGCTGGATGCTTCTCAAAAGTTTTATAAGGGAGCTGTTGATCTCCCAGAGGTGGAACAGTTCTATACTCCAGTTGAACTGGAAACTCTAGGGAAACTTGTTAATGAAACACGAGTGAGTTATGCCTTTTCTAGATTCTCATTATCTGTTAGTGCTGACTCTTATTGAAGAAATGCATTTCTTCTTGACAGTCATGGCAGGAAGAGAAAATCAAGGATCTGAGCCAGCAGTCAAGAGCTGAAATGCCAAAGTTGACTGTGAAGATGATTGGGGAGAAAGTTGCTGGATTAGAGCGAGAGATTAACTATCTTGCTAACAAAGCTAAGATTCATGCAGCTAAAAGGGCCAGAGAAGAAATGGAAGCCAAGAAGGCACAAGAGGAAGCAGAGAAAGCAAAAAATAAGGAGACTGAGGATGCTTCAAAGAAGGGAGGAGATGAATCAGAAAAGTCTGGTGAAGGTAAGCCTATTCTCCCATCCTACAGGAATAAATCTATGTTGGTTCAAGGAAGATAGCTGTATTGTACTACATTTTTCAACTTTTTGGAAAAACAAAAAACAGAAGATTCAAAAAAGGAGGCACCTCCTGGAGTGTTTGATGGGCCAGAAATATTCAGTATGGAGACTTTGATGGAGAAGCTGAAAGATCCAGAAATGCTGGAGAAGTTAAAAGAACTTGGAGACCCAGAGTTGTTGGAGCGACTCCGCAGCTTCCATCCTGGCTCAGGTGTGCATGATTCTAGTACCCCTCTGTCACCATCCTCTTCACCATCTTCAGATACAGACAAGGAGACATCTGCTTCTAGTACTGGTTAGTTACCTGAATTGTATTCTTGCACTCCCTTAGTGTAGCACACCTTTACATGTACTTATATCAATTTGTCACCACAAATCCACCTCAAGAGTATGATCAGAGATTGGTGAATGAGAAAGAAGGTATAAACTAGGCTGTGGTATTGAGGACAGGAAAAGATGGAGAGGTGCGAGGAGAACCTGACAAAAGTGAAGGTGATGAAGGATCTCTAGTCATGTCTGCACTTGTTATCCTTCTCCTTCATTGTCTCTTCCACTTCCCACATCTCCCCACATTCATTACTGCCATCGTGTACGTGTGTCTCCAACTTTCATATCATCTCTCCTCTGCCTCTCCAGCTTGCCTCTCCTTTCGGTGTTGGGTTGAACTTAGGCAGTTCCAAAGTTACTGATGTAACACCAGACTCAAAATGAAAACAAGTATGATGGTATACCTTGAAGATGGTTTGGTCCAGAATTTCTTCAGCAGCGTCTTATGGAACATAGGTACTTGCACCTATTCCAGCCAAAAATGTATAATTTCTCCCATGGATGAAGAAAAGTAAGGCCATTCATTTTGTGTTACTGATGTAACATAGTTTAGACAACAGTTTTCATTCTGCTGTCTCTGTTCCAACTCTGATTTGTTTGACCTGGAGCATATTTTCAAGAAAGAAGGCATGTACTGTCACCTTTCTCTGTGCTAAATGACCTTTGTTGTTGATAAAAAATGAATTAGTTGGGAGTCTTTCCTGTATTACTGACGTAACAAAATTGTGCAAAACAAGGTTCATGAAGTAAGTGTTAAATTGAAAAAAATGTAGTGTTGAGAAATGAAAAACCATCTCATATCAGGTGATGGATGTTTAGTGGATCCCTTTTTATTTTAAGTTTAGTATCCATACAATGCGGAAAATAATGGTGGAGTTTTTTGAGAAAAATGTTATACCACTTTTGTCCCTATTACTCTGGAACTGCCCACTTGTGTAGTGGATGCAGAAGTGATGTGACATTTGGTACTTGCTGTCTTACACATGTTGGCCTTCTCATTCTTTAAATTACATCAGCATCTTTATTATTGGTAGGCCTTACTTCTTTTGTACATTTGATATGATGAAGAATGCCACCGTGAATATCAATCATCTCCAAAGTAATTATTTATTATTAATTATTATTATTTTTTACAAATTAATGATAAGGATATGTGGCATACACATATTACCATGTACATATTACAGTAAACACTTGGAAGATGCCTTCTTCACACAGGCACCACCAAGATCAGTGTCTCCAGCAGTGTCTTAATGTTTTTCACTGAAGTCTGTTCCTCACCTACATTTTTAATTTTATTGTTTTGGGATCTATACCATTCAAGAGGAAATGCATACAATGTCCATTCATACTTAGAGACACAAGAATGGTGTAATTTCATTGAAATGGTAGGTTGTATTTATAGTCATGTTGAATTGTATGATATGAGGGGTGGACTTTATGACAGGGTCAGTATTGGTATCTCTCTTATGCATTTGGATTTCATTTGTCATCTGGCTTTCAATTATATACTCTGAAGTAAATCTGAGGTATTCCTATCCTTCTTTGGCCTAGTTCAAGTACAATAGGCAAATATGCTATTCTGAAAAATGATAGACCAGTGGAGCCATGCATATACTGTATAGGGAGGAGGAATCATTGAAAAGTAAGAAAATTTTCCTTTTGAGCTCTGAGGAAGAAGGGCAACTTCTCTTTATCATGAGTGTGCATGACACTTACTACAATACAGCAGAACAGCAACAAAGAGAGGGACACCAGAAGGACCAGAGGGCCAGTATCCCAAAGTCTAAAAGCCTAAAGTTCTTCAGTTGAAGTTGACCTTTGCTATAATTGACCAAAGAAGAGACTGTTCAAAGCCAAGAAAGAAACCATCATCTTTGCCATTTAGGACCAGTGCATCATAACTCATCAAGAAGCACATCCTGAAGTTGGATGTCAAAGACTACTGCTGTTGCTGTCACAGCCCATCTGAAACAGTCAACCACCTAATTGCATGTTCTGTACTTGCCGTTGAGCAGTACTTGTACTTTTATAGTACTTGCACAGGCACAACTAAGTGTGTAGGTATGTCCACTGATGTGTCTGCAAGCAAGCTGGTATGAATGACCCAGAGAAGTGGTATGAACACCAACCACAATCTGTGATGGAGTATCCTACCACCAAAGTATTTTGGGATATGCTTGCAGTTACAGGCCTCATCATTATTTGCAACAGCTCTGGCTTCATGATCTATAACAACAGGAAGAACACCACCTGGCTTTTTGATGTGAGCATACTAGCTGACACCAACCTTGAGTCAAGACTTGGGAGAAGGTGAGCAGGTACTCAGAACTCAAAGTGGAATTCAAATGATTTTGTGGAATGAAGACCACCGTCATTCCTGTCATCGTCAGCACTATTGGCAGCAACCTGAAAGACCCCAAGGATCATATCCAGAAACTGGGATGGTACATATTCCTAGACATCTTCCAGTGCATGGCCATCTTGGGCATGGCTAACATTCTTCATCATATCCTCCAGAACTAGACAAGCATGAATATTGGTATTAGGGTGTGGGTCATCCCCCTTCATGCTTCCTTTGTCAGCACTTGCCATGAAGCTCTAGAATAATAATAATATTAAAATATACAAGGTTGTTCACTACTCTATTTTGATTGGCCATAACTTTCAATGGTCAGTTGGGTGCAGCTGATATTTGACAGAGAGGTTCATGAGTTTAAGAAATTTTTCCCTATATTGCAAGATTATGCTGCATGTTGATAGAGGGTGCTGTAGTTGACCAAAGTGCCCCTATCAGCCATGCATTTTTCAGGCATGGAAAAAAATAATATTTTAGGCTTGTGAGCCTCTGCCAAATATCAGATGCTTTTGAGAGTCCTTTTCAAAATATATGGTCAAACAAAGTTGGATGGTAACTTAAAACCATCTGACATTGGTTTTAACTTTTTAAGGAATTGCCAGATGCAGCTGATGTTTGAAAGAGGTGTACATGGGCCTAAAATGTATTTGATCCCTTGCCAGCCACATGTCTTTACATGTTAATGAGGCACTGTGGTCATAAATGCATGTAAATAACAATAATAATAAACAGTGTTTACACAGGGAATTTTTTGTAAGAATGACTGAAAAGTGCACAGTTTATGAAGGTTGAAAGTCAGAAGTATAATTTTTTGCCATTCTTGCCGTTTTGATTTGGGGTCTACTGCTAACATTCACTTGAACTAAAGTGCACAATCTGAATGAAATTGACAAGTCTTTGAGTGCATTATGTGGTTTCCTAGGTATAGTCTCGTGCATACAGCTTAGACAGGAATTGCTGTTACTGTTGAAACACCCTCATATAATAATACATGGACACACATGGAATATATCTGATCATATATTTTTACTGAAATAATTAGTTCACAATCATATATGGCAGAGTCTCACATGAGTTGAATCAAAATCATGTATGTCAATGATATGGAGAAGCAAGAATTCAATTAAAATTACCAGTACATCAGTTCTGGATAAAATGGGGCATATACATCAATCATACCCAACTGGAGAGATGTATATAGTTGGATCAAGTATGAACACATATGATGTCATCCCTGCATACCTTGGTCAAGTTTTGAAAATGATCTAAGGAGATATTCTGAGAATTGCTATTATATATATGTCATTATAGTGGTGTCTGGCATTGAAAATGAATTACTTCTCTCTTACCAACTGAAACTAAAGCATATGGAATTATGAAATAAAAATGGTTAATTGCAGTTTCTCCAATTCACATAAACAGAAAATGCAGATTGTTGATGTTGTTCTATTAACAGGATAAAGAATGAAATAAGGAAAAATGAAAGTAACATTTTCTTATTCTTCAAGTTGGTGCCAATTTGTAAGAGGTTCTATAAATCTTGCATGAAACAGATATGCTGGACTATAAATGCATGGAAAGACCTCTTATGAATAATGTACCTTTAAAAAGGGAATTAATGGATTATATAAATGTCATTGAGATTAAAGGCGTTTAGTGTGATCTGGAGTCCTGCTATAGTAACAAGATATTCCAGAGCACCTATGGGTAATCTGGAAATGATATTTTCATGTTCAAAATTCTAGGAGTCTAATTTTTGGCAAGAAGCTTAGCCTGTAAGTCATTTGGCCTTTGGGGGATGACAATTCACCTAACTGAAAATTGGACTTGGCAGTCAAAGTGTTGAAGCAGTGCAGGCATGCTGTAACAGTTTATTGCACTGAGTTAATGAGAATTACAGTTAAAAATCCAGTAATAAATAATCATTGTAAACAACTTCCATGTTATTTTTGTCTTCATTATTTGGGTCAGTGTACAAATCTCCAGCATAGAACACTTTAAAGAATTTGGTCTATGTTGTCCTGCTGTACTTGTGGCTCCTCTGAGAAATGAGCATAGGTAGGACATGTGTGCAGTTGTAATGTCCAGTCTCCAGCTTCTAAAGAGCAAATCTTCCAAGATGCCATGAGCTCTGTCAATAAAGCCATTGGTTGAAGAATGTTGTGCTCTTGACTTAACCATGGAGGAACTCACTGGCAATAAGGTCTTGCATCTCTTCTGGAATTGTAAAGCTGCCTTTTGGCATGAGGGAAAGGCTTCCAATCATATAGGTGCACCAGGGCATGGGGAGGGGCAAGGAAGTATCATGCAGTATATGATAGCAATTTGGAATGCAATTTTGCACATGCTTTCTCGTTTTTAGGTCTCTGAAGTGAGTTGCACAATTCCTATTTTTGGCTTTTGGATTATTTTTTTATGTGCCCTCTGTGAGCAAGTTTGTCACTATTGGAATTGGCTCTGAAATTTATCAGTGAATTCACCACCTCTGTCATGCTGAGATATTCAATATATTCAGAGAACCTGAGATGTAGCAAGATGCAAATAGTGACAGCAACTTTTTTGCATAAATTAGTAACAAGAGATATAGTTCATGAAATCTTTGACTAGTGGTCTTTTGGGGCATTCCAATTCAATGAACCATCTGGAATGCCAGAAATATCAATGAGTTCAAACTCTTCCAAATTCATACACTAGAAATGGATTTTCCAATTGGCACTTTAGCTGTTTTCCTCTTCAACTGGTTCATTATAGGGTTCTTAATGCAATCTGTTGCTGCTGTCAGTGGTGTACTAGCTCACTGCTCTTCCAACATCATGGTTGAACTTCACCCAAGATGGCCTACTTGCAATGAACCTGTGGCAACTCTAGCAGCTCATGCTTCATCACCATACTGGCTCCTGCAGGGTCCAAATGCATAAAGGAACAAACAGACAGACAAACTTTCTTCTAATGTATATAGAGATGATCATGAAGTTTGATACTAAAGGAAATGTATGTTTATTAGCCATTTATTTGGAAAATTAGGTAATCACAATCAAACGCAGCATTTTCTGTGCAATATATCCTATTTAAAAATTGCTTTGCTATTTACCAGACTAGATTGCAGTAGTGTCTTTTAATTGGACTTCTGTCCTTCCCTCATATCTTTTCTGCATGCATTGCTACATGCTTTCAATAACTGCTGCACATTTGAATATATCTTCAAATTGAGACATTGTCAAGTGAAGACAATGCAGACGTGTGTCAGATCATTGTTTGAAAATTGTTTAACTTTCAGCTTCTTAGATGCATTATTCAGAGCATTGTCTGCTTTTATTCATTCATTCAGGGTTAACAAGTATTACTAATGGAATTTCAGGCTTTTTGCTTTTAGATCCCACAGAATCCAGTAAACTGTTACTTGTAGTGCTTTCCAAATTGCATAAGCACAAGGGTGTGCATCAAATTTATCTGTGATGTTAAACATTTTTACAACTGTGTTTGCCAAAGATTTGGAGTATTTAATTGCATTGCTCTTCTATCAAGTTGAGCACTCTATTTCATGGTTAATTCTATTAACCCTCCACTAGTCCTCCCACTTATCAGAATGCTGTTGGTCCTGCAGAGTCAAATCGATCCCATGCCAGGAAAAAAATATTGAAAAATACTAATTGAGAATTCTTTAAATGTAACAATGTCAATGAGTAAAGCAAAGATAATGTAAAATAAAACTTATGTGAAAACTCTCAGGAGTTTTAGGAAGGTACTGTAAGCAACGAATGCCTCAGTGCTGCAATCTTTCAGTGGCATCATTTTCAATTTCCTGTGGGGCACATTCGACCCCAGAGACTAACCACCATGCTTGTTAAGCACCATGTTTGTTCTTTTTTGGCTTGCCATGTAGTATTGGAGCAATATAGTATGCCTCAAGAAAGTATCAGCTATGCATTCACATTTTGTATTCTTCATGGTGCCCTTATCCAAAAATGCTCTGTGGGTCAGATTCCTTGAAATCCTTGTTAAATTACTGAAGGAAAATCCATGTAAAATCTGATGTACATTACTATTATCCTCTGTATGAAATTTACATGCATTAATATTGCTCCTGTTTAAAAATGAAAGAATGAGCAGCTGTTATTTTGTTTTGTGGTAGTCCAGCACTATTCATAGATCCACATCAGGTTGCCCAAATGAGAAACTTGAACAATTTTTTTATGGACTACATATTACTGATCTCTTAGTAAAACTTTAAATAGTTGAAGGAATCCAACTGCACCTTGGAATCTATGGTCCATTTCAAGTGGGACTGTCATTGATACGACTTTTATACAATCAATATGTAATGAAAAGAGAGAATTTCATATTGGTTCACATAAAATGCTAAAACTTCACTTTTGTATGAAGTCAAGATTTTAAGGCCAGGTGGAGCCAATTGAGAGCCAATAAAATTTTTAAAAAGCCTCCTTTCCTCTTTATCTGAAAAATATTAGTTACATATCTACCACCCATAGAAATATTGCATTTTGACCTGGTTTTCTTGGAGTTTGATCCATTATGCATTGCATAGAATCTCCTGACTATCAATGTGTGGGATACCTCGGAAGGCACAAAATGAGAACGATTGACTGGTTTTATTCATGTGTGCAATAAGCACTTTTACATGAATTCCTTTGTGTTTGTGAGAAGTGAAGTATCAAGGTTACTGGCTGCATTTGCTAGAGTTCATGATTCCAGATGGGTTAATGATCCTCCTGATTGCAGGTGAAGAGGAGAAAGGAGAATCCGGGAAGCACATGGAATTGTGATGGCTAGATGGAGTTTGGAGGAATCCAGAGAGCCCAGAACATGGTGATGCTGGACATGTGATAATTATTTCTTTCAAAGCTCTTTCATGTTTGTATGTATTTAAGAGCATCCAGATTTGGACATTAAGATCTCTTGGGTGTTCTCATGATACCGGTCTCGGGGAAAATTGTCCGCCTCTCCTCTTGTCTCCTAATGCATTCCAATCCCCTCTTCACCACCTCTTCTTCCTCCTTTTAATGGATCTGTCTATGACTTCATTACTGTTGAAATTCAGATCTGGTGTCAGATGGGAGCAACACAAATGAAAAGAAATGAAGGAATTCTTATCATTCAAGAGTATTTGCTTATTTTCCATTCCATTTTTTATGCAGATACCAAGCAAGGAAGTTTGAATCCTTGAAATGGTTCTTCCAGCCATTCACCAGGCAAATATCTGGCATCAAGGACATATGTATTAGATAATGTTGCAATCTTTTTTGCAAAGAAGCATAATGGATTCTGCATTTTATACCTAAACTTCCCTTGATTGCAAACCAGGTTTTATTGTTCCATTTCTCCTTAGGTGAATGAATCATGCATGGTCTTAGTGAACGAAACTGTAGAGGCACTTGTAATCACTTGATTCTTGTAGTATACTTTGCATATTGATGCAAATGTGTGAAGAGAGATGGGATATGACTGAAATTGTAGTCTCACCAAGGATCTTGGTGACATGATGATATGGAGGCTAACTGTATGCAGGGGACGAGGCTCATTCCTCTCACCTGCTTCATTCAGGTGGACTGGTCAGTTCTTTCGCCAAACTTTTCGATCCACAAATGCCAAAGTGAAAGTCCCTGATGGTAGCAGTTATAGCAAAGGACAAATCAAGACCTCTGATCTGAAGAATCTAATTGCCCTTGCTAGGCCAGAGAAATGGAAACTTGCTGGTGAGTCTTTTGTCCAGGCTTGCCTACTTCCTGCTTCAACTGGAGAGGTGTGAAATCTGTGGAGTTGGTGCAATAGAAAGCATTTGAGTGCTTGTGGGAAGTAGGGAGCTTTCCCTGTAAAGAAAGATTGCATTCTCTTGACCTCAATTGAATTAGACAAGACTTGCCATTTGATGTGGAATTCACAGCCAATATGTCACTAATGATATTCTCAATTGGCATAAAGTTCTTGATGGAAGACTTTCAAATTCTTAGCATTGTATGGAAAAAGATTGAAAATAGATTCTTTCCATCCAATATTGCTTTTACTTACCCATGGCATATTTACTGTTAGTGATAGAAAATAGACATGACTGGAATGAGTAGTTTAGGAGATAATGTAGATGTAGGAACTGCAGGTACATTCCAGAAAAAGTTGAGAAAAATATTTTTGTTATTAGGAACAGGGATTTCTACATATATCCATACATGCAGAAATCCCTAATGACCTAATGATATGACCACCTCCTCATATCTTGTAAAATTGCTTTGTGACTTTGAAAGACCAAATATTATAACTCCGATTTAAAAAGAGTTTATTGCAGAATTTTTGAGTAAAAAGTAGTAAAGATAGAGGTGGGAATGGTCATAGCTACTTTTTATATTCAGCACTTTATATTTAAAAAAAAAGGAAAAAAAAAGTCCTTCGAAAATGAGAGGGAATAAAGTTTCCTCTTAACTTTTTAATGGACTTTTTTTTTTTCTCCAATATGTTGAATATAAAAATTCGTAAAATCCACTTTTCCATTTTGTTCTGGCTTCATTGATAAGCAAACTAATTTATTTGGTATCATTCCCCCTGGAGAGGTTATATATAAAGGCAAATTGCAGAAGGCAGAATGATTAGAGTGAGGTGGAATTATGCATTTCTGGCTTTGGCCTTGAGAAGTTCAGTTGTCAGAGTTGTTTTTTTTTTTCATAGCTTCAATTTTCAGCATTATTGAGAGCTTTCACATGAAAAGCAAAAATGTAAGAAACTGGCAAAGTCCAGCATTTTTCACAGTGCTTTCATGTGTGAGTTTCTATTGACCTCACTTTAAGGGTAGATGTTTGGTGCCAATAACAGATAAGATACTTCTTTTTGCCATGATAACACATTAATACATATTTCTATTTGGCGGTTTCACTACACTCCTTGGTAAGGGGTATCTTAAAGGATACATATGTGGGGACTTTGCTGATGAGTTTTACTTTGGAAAGATGCAGTTCAAGAAGTGATATGCATAACTGGAAAATCAATTGTTCTTGGGTCCTCCTGCATTTAATTCAGTAATTCTAAACCCAAAACTCTAAACCTAATTTGTATGGAACTGAACATATGTAGTACACATGTGCACTAGCATATATGGGGTTGACCAAAAAAAAGGAAGCCACTTTTAATTTTGCTGTGATATCCATATTTTCAAATGAATTGACTTCAAAAATTTAAATGAGCATTGTCTAATTTGTTCTTGAAGAGCTGTTGAAGTTTCATGCACTTTTGGCCTCTGAGTGGACAGGCATGCCACTGTTGTTTCAAGACACAAATACACATTTGCATAGGAATTTCTGGAAATTTATGCCCATGCATGACATTTTCAGATAGTGAAAAACACCATTTTGACAATGTCCTGTTATGTTTTCATGGTGTTTTGTCCAGAGAAACACTTTTTTTTTTTTTAAACAGGAAATCAATTGTGGATTCATGCCTCACAGCAATAGTCACATGCAACACTGTTCACTCGAATTTTTAATCATTTTGATGAAAACTGCCATAACTTGAGTAAATGGCTAAAGGTGCATAGAACTTCAACAGTGCTTCAAGAGCATGCTAGACAACATTCATTTAAATTAAATTTTTAAGTTAACCCATTTGAAAATATGGATTTTATAGCAAAATTTAACAGTGGCTTACTTTTTGGTCAACCCTGTATAATCACATGAACTCCGATGAAATCGCATGATACAGCACCAAAGTTTAGCAAATGGATGTCTGCTGTAGTGTGCCTGTTATGCATTTACTGACCACCGACTTGCAAGTGATGTTAACATCATTTTGTATATTTTACATCATGGCATTTTATTTGGAGTCAAATGTAGAAGGTTTAGCATGAAGAATAAGAGTGCCAGTGCATTAAGTCTGCAAAATGAAATCTATCACACTGTCTATTGTCTACCTATGATAGCAAACACTTCACAGGCACCAATTCATGTAAATTTTATTATAAATTTGCACCATATGACTTATATACTGAGTCACCCCAGAAAGGTTATTAAATCTGCAATGCTACTGATGATACTTCATACAAGGTGTCGGCAAGAATATTACAAGATGTTGAATCCCACATGTATGAGTGGTTTGATGAAAATTTAAATGAAATTGGTTTTCAGGAGCTGAGTTAGTTTTTTTTCCAAGCTACATCAAATGAGGAAGGGTCAATGTGTGTCCCCTGGCTGCTTCCTCCACTCACAATCTGAATCTCCCTAGCCCAGTTCAGCAGAGCAGGGGGAAAAAAGTCATTAATTGAACTCTGAGCAACCAATGTGACATTTTAATTTAGCCCCCTACATGTGTAACATGTAGGGGGTCCTTATAAATTTCCTGCTGATATCTTGCATACTGCCCTGTCTACAGTGCCCTATGTTTTTCTGATGTCTCCTGACTGTCCATCTCCTGAGTCCTACCTGCATCTTTCCTCTTGACTGTGAACCTTAATCTCAGACTTGAAAAAAATAGAGCTGAAATCATTCCATGATGGTGTGCTTAATTCTTGATGACCTTGATCAGGTGCAATGGTCTTCCTGGTGATTTCAAGCACAGTGACAATGGCTATTCCATTTGGGATTGGGAGAGTGATGGATGTGATCTACACAGAGACAGAAAATGAGAGGATGAAGCAGAGACTCTTTGATGTCTCTAAGATCCTTGTCTGTGTCTTCCTCATTGGAGCTGCTGCCAACTTTGCTCGTGTGTATTTTATCAATACCTCAGGTGAGAATCTTCTAAGCCACATATTCCTTGGAGCCTGCTCTTCTGTCAAATTCTGAATTGTAACTCCTACCTGTTTTGTTTTTGACCACCAGCAGCCTTCTTTCTAGTTCTGACTGTTACAAATCCTCCTTCTATTGCATGTGATGTGCCCTTGTACAGGGCAGAGGATAGTGAAGCGGCTCAGGGAGAATGTGTATGGTGGGATCCTAAAACAGGAGATAGGGTTCTTCGATCAGACAGGAACGGGAGAGCTGGTGAATCGATTGTCAGCTGACACAGCTGTTGTTGGGAGCACCATCACTCAGAATCTCTCTGATGGACTTCGCTCCTCCATCATGGTTGCTGCTGGGGTCTCCATGATGGCATGCTGAATTCCTTGTTCTTTTCTTTTTCTATACATCTGATCTCCAGCAAGTCTCTTACACCTATTTGCAGTTCTACACTTCCACTAAATTAGCCCTCTGTGGCTTGGCCATAATACCACCAGTTGCTGTTGGAGGTATCTTGTATGGACGCTTTGTTCGCAAACTCTCCAAAAAAACTCAGGTTTCCATTCCTTTTCATATCATTCCCTTTCCATTATCCCTGAAGATTTGTTGGAAAAGTTGGTTTCCTTTTGTAGGATGCTCTGGCTGGAGCCACCCAAACAGCTGAGGAAAGGATCTCCAACATCCGCACCCTTAGGGCATTCTGTCAAGAGAATCATGAGATGGGGACATATTCCAAAAAGGTGTCTCATGTCCTAGCACTGGCTTATAAACAGGCTGTGGCCCAAGCTATATTTTTTGGATTTGTGAGCCTATCTTTTCATGCATCACACTATTGGTGTTACCGTGCATGTATTGTGATGAAATTCTTTGCCTTTGCACAGACAGGTTTGAGTGGGAATTTGATTGTGGTGACAGTTCTCTATTATGGTGGAATGTTGATGACAGAATCTCAGTTGACGGTTGGCCAGCTTTCGTCATTCCTCCTGTATGCTGCTTATGTGGGGGTTGCTCTTGGGGGACTCTCATCTTTTTATTCTGAAGTTATGAAGGGTCTTGGAGCATCATCACGACTTTGGATCCTCCTTGATCGGAAGCCTCATATCCCCATCCAGGGTTTGTCTTTTCTCTGTTTGCCTGTCAAACTCTGCCTTTCAACCATTATTTTGTTTTCTTGTCCCTGTGGCTACAGGTGGCCTGGAGATCCCAAGAGAAAAAATGAAGGCAGAGTTGGTGTTCAATGATGTTCATTTCTCCTATCCATCTAGGGATGAAATATCCATTTTGAATGGGATCAGCTTGAAAATCCCCAGTGGGAAAATCACAGCTCTGGTTGGAGGAAGTGGAAGTGGGAAGAGCACACTCGCTTCCTTGATCCTCCGCTTCTATGATCCACAGCAAGGCTGTGTCAGCCTTGACCATGTTCCCATCACCCAGTTGGATCCTGCTTTCCTTAGGCAAACCATTGGCTGGGTCCCTCAAGTCAGACCTGTTTCCATCCTACAGCTTTAGATGATACTTGAGAAGTTATATGGAATAATTATGGTTGTTTTGTTTCATGGGCAGGAGCCAGTGCTGATGAGTGGGACAATACGAGAGAATGTGATCTATGGGAGCCAGAGGGGAAGCAAAGAAAGAGATGAGGAAGTGGAGAAGGCATTGGAAAGAGCAAATGCACTGGGATTTGTGAGGGGTTTCCCTGAAGGCATCCACACTCCTGTGGGGGAAAGAGGAGTCATGCTTAGTGCTGGGCAGAAGCAGAGGATTGCCATTGCCAGGGCCCTTCTCAAGGTTCTTTTTTGTTCATCATCTCACATATTTTCTGTGTTAGTCAATGAGTCATGTAGCATCCAATATAGAACCCAAGGATCCTGATCCTGGATGAGGCAACTAGTGCATTGGATGCTGAGAGTGAATTTCTTGTTCAAGACGCCCTGGAAAGACTCTTGGTTGGTCGCACTGTCCTTGTCATTGCACATCGCCTCTCCACCATCAAGAATGCTGGTCTCAAATCTCTTTTTTTTTTTCAGTCTTGCATTGCCTCTTGCTAATTGAGATTCCATCCTGTTCTCATTGCTGCAAACGTTTTTTCCTCTTTTCTCATCTTCAGATTTGATAGCAGTGTTGGAAGGAGGCAAGATTGTTGAGAAGGGAACTTACAAGGACCTGATGGCCCTCCCTGCAGGCATAGGAAAGTTTCGGAAATTGGTCGAGCATCAGACCATCTTCCACTGATTCTCACTTCACCCATTCTCCTGGAAGAGAATGATTGCAAAAGAAGAAGCAGATCCAAATCAGAGTGAAGAAGTGGCAGAAATGGAACTGATAGGAACAAATAGTTATTCCATCATTGTGGACAGGGAGAGCTGTCAACTGACCTTTTTCTTCCCATGTCAAGTCCAAGTGAATGCAGGAAGGTCAGTTTCATTCTGTTGCATGGATGTTGCATGTACTTTTAAAAAAAAATCTCAAGCTATGCTCATTGCAAAAAAAAATGGAGCAAAATTGAGGAATTGAGCCATAGTGATGAAATATGGTGTAAGAACTTGTTGTCGTGTGCAATAAAGTTGCTAGAAGTGCTGAAGGTTGTTGGATGACACTCTTGATTGAAAATGTTCCAAATGCCATAGTGGGCAAGGAAGGTTTTGCTTGTCAGTTGACCTTTGGATCACTACTAAGTTTTCAGTTACAAAGCTATGCTGAAGCAATATTTTCAAAAGCAGTTTTTGACCAGTTTGCCAAAGGTTTGCAAAGATCTATTTAAATGGATATATGGGGAGACATGCATGCCTCTAATTAAATAGAATAGTAAAGAATGCAAGCCACCTCAATTTTAGTGGTTGCAATGCGAAGTGCATTGACCATAGGGAGACAGGGCATATTTTCAGAACAACCTTTGCCCAGTAGTTCAGGTGAAAACAGATATTAAGGCCCAAATGCTGAAACCTTATTTAGGCAAGGTAAAGGGGATTTCAAGCTAAAGACCTCTTTTTTTCCCCCACAGAAGCCAATTGATTCATGAGGGACTGCTAATAAAAGGAGGTTTCAGAATTTGATCTCAGTATCTGTATTGCCATATACTTGAAGAGAGAAGATTTGAGACAAGAAAAATGTTGACTCCATCATTTGTTAGATTGAAAACTCATAACATGATTTTAAATTGTAGAATTCCTCTTTGTCTTAAAAGCAGGGCCGGCCTTTGGCATGTGCCACATGAGCCCCCGCACAGGGCGCAAATTCACCAAAGGCGCCAAAACGTGACTATGTGAAACAATAACGGATGCCACCCTGTTTTACTTTAAATTTGAATAATGTTCATTGCACCAAGTTGATGGTAAAAAGAATCACAGAACAGATAAACTGTGACAAAGATGCAAAGAGGACGCAACAATCAGATATCCAGCAGCAGTCATCTTGAAATTATTAACCGTGAGACTCAGATCATAACGCAAAAGAGGTCTCATTATTATTATTCTTTCTTGTCCTATGCTGCGAGGGATTCTGTATTTCCAGAGCATTGTAGCAGGTGGTAGAGGTAGGAAGCACATTCTCCGCACTGAGCATTTGCAGTCTGCACTCGGTGAATGGAAATCCTTTCTCTTGCAGATTTCGAAATGAAATCCATGTATAGATATCCGTGTGACAAGGTGTCTGTTTCCAGGGTTACATTCCTTCCATCGGTGTTGAGTCATCGTGGGAGAAGTAAAAAATTCATTTGGGATATGAGATATTTTCTCTTGGGCTTCTTCCTGAATACTGTGTTGTAGCAGGGAGGTGGAGGTCCTGGTCTACCTCTTCCGCGAGGGGGTTTGTTCCAGCCATCAGAAGGACCAATCTATTTCGGGCATTTCGCGGCAATCCCAGAACTCTCTTGAGATATGTAGATTTTACTCTATCCACGCTATGCAGATTAGCTGCTGACAGCGGTCTCCAAAAGGAAGCGATATCGTATGTTATGACGGGTCTGATCTTTATCTCAAAGAGCTTCAAAGCTGCTCTGAGGGAGAGTTTTTGGATGTTCTTGATTGAGCATGTCGCACGGGAACATTTTTGTACCTTCGCCTTGATATGTTTGGTGAAGCAGCCTGTTTGAAAAATCACTCCAAGGTATTCGTAAGAATTAGTGATTTCCAAGACTTGTCCCAGGTACTGGAAGTGGTTGTCCCATGTCAGTTTCCCTCCTCGGCGAAACTTCATGATCTTAGTTTCGGCTGTATTTACTTCTAGGCGGGTTTTGGTTGACCATATCTCAAGGGCCTTAAGGCCATTCTGGATAGCTGCACGTGATGTTGAGTAAAAAAAACCGCATCGTCTACATACATTAATACCTTGAGGGATGGACAGGCTCTTTTGATGTAGGCTGGTAAATCATGCGATAGTAGGATGAACAGTAAAGGGCTCAGTGGACTGTTGGATAGGTCTAGTCTTTCTGAGTCCATCGTCCATGATAACTTCATTTGTGCTGAGGATGCTGCAAATCAGCTTGAGGAGTTGTCCTCTGATACTAATATGGTGTTCTAACTTTTGGATGAGATAGTTTCTGTTCACCGAGTCAAAAGCCTTTTTGAAGTCGACAAATGCAGCGAACAGAGCTTGACCTTTTTTTGGAGAGCTGTTAACGTATCTCCTTGTTCAGCACGCTGATGGCATTTGTGGTAGCTCTATTTTTCCTGAATCCATACTGCTCATCTGGGAGAGAGTTTTGAGCATAGATGGATATTCGTTTGACAATCATTTTCGTGAGCACTTTGTAGGGGTTCCCTAGGAGTGCTATTGCCCGGTAGTTATTTGGGTCTTCCAAGGCCCCTTTCCCCTTATACAACACTTTCAAGTACCCGGTCTTCCACTCTTGCGCTACTTGGCTCGTTTCCAGACAGCAATTGTATAGGGAAGTCCATACCTGTGTGATACACGATAGGGATCCCTTCATGTGCTCATAGGCAATGCCATTTGGGCCTGTGTCCTGTGGTCCTGTGGGCCTGTGTGTGCCCGTGGGGAGTCGCAAGCGGTGTCCCTCAAGGCTCGGTCCTTGGACCGCTTCTGTTTTTGGTCTACATAAACGATTTGGATCTCGGCGTAGAGGGTAAGATAAGTAAATTTGCCGACGACACCAAGATAGGTTTTACCATAAGGGGGGAGGCGGATAGGGCTAGAGCCGAGCGAGATTTAAGGCTTTTGGACGAGTGGAGCAAGAAATGGCTCATGAGGTTTAATAAAAGTAAGTGTAAAGTTCTCCACGTCGGTCGAAACAACGGTAGGTCTCTCGACACGTTCGGCGATGTTAAATTGGATGAGGCAAACGGAGAGAGAGATTTAGGTGTTTCTATCGACGAGGACCTCAAATTTTCCTCGCACGCGCAAGCGACGGTGGCCAAATGCAATAGGATTCTAGGTTACATTCGTCGGTCGGTTGCAAGTAGGACATCTCGCGTTATTCTTCCGTTGTATGCGGCGCTGATAAGACCCCAGCTGGAATATTGCATCCAGTTTTGGAGGCCTACAAATAAGGGCGATCTGTTGGCGCTCGAGGGAGTACAGAGGAGGGCCACAAGAATGATTAAGGAGGTTAGGGGACTATCATACGAGAAGCGTTTAGAAGTGCTGAGACTGTACTCGCTCGAACGAAGGTTAAGGAGGGGCGATCTCATCCAGGCTTTCAAGATAATTAAAGGAATAGATAATGTCGAGTGTGGTAGGTTTTTCCAGTTTGATGACAGCAAGAGAACGAGAGGTAACCGACTTAAGTTGCGCAAACCGCAGGTGCGGCTCAGGTCGAGACAGGAATTCTTTACTTGCAGAGTGGTGAACGCGTGGAATGCGTTAGATGACGAAGTAGTGGCTGCCCCTTCTGTGACTATCTTTAAGAAGAAACTAGATGCTTTCATGGACAGGCAAAAAGGTGGGGGGCAATGTTGACGTAGGTACTAGACAGTAAGCAACTAGGATAGTAAAAAAAAAAAATAAAAAAAATAAAAAAATACAAAAATATTTAGCTTTAAGAGGGTTAGGCCTACCCTAAAATTAAGGAACGCTCGACCTCGACACGTGATATCGAAATGGGCGAAATCGCCTCTTGATATCACTAACTCTCCTGACTCCTGACTCCTGTGGCTTTCTTGTCAGGTGTGGAGAGTATAGCAGAAGATACTTCATCTGTGAAGGGCAGGTTATACCACATTCCCCGGTCGACCTGGAAGTAAAGGCTGATGTTCTTGAAGTCCAGAGTCAAAGGTTTAACATCTGGGAGAAATGATGGACCCATTCTTCGAGTTTGATAGGACAGCTGCTGAACTTCTTTTCTTGTCTAGCATGCTTCCAGGGATCCTTTTCAGCTTCCTCGAGTCTCTTCTCCTCCAGGCTCTCCTCATGACATTTTTTCTTGCAGATGATCATTTTCATGTATTCTTTCCTCTTTGTGGAGTAAAGTTCCCTTCTCGTTGAGTTGTTCCTGGCCTCGTGAAGCAGGCTCAATACTTCCCTCCTCATTTCCTGGCAATGTTGGTCATACCATGGTTTCCATATCCTCCGTCTAGGTTTGACAACTGGCACTGCATCAGATATGGCATTCTTCAGATGAAGGAAAGCCTCATCAACATTACAACCCTGAATGCACGGCGACACCAGCTTCAGGATTTCACTTGCTAGGCAGTCTTACGGCTTCTAGGTCGTTGGGGTCTCCGTACCAAGTCCTTGGTTTGAGAGTCCTGAGACGTCAACTTCCATTTGACTGACACAGAGAGATGTTTACGTAGCGGTGTATAGCTACACGCGTCGCACTTCCAAGAACGAACAGTATCAGGGAAGGCATTGATAAAGACGAGATCACAGTACTCTTCCCATTGTGCAGATGTATGTTGGGACAAGTGGGTCATTCACCAAGAAGCAGAGAGGAGGCTCTGTAAGGATCCACCTTTCTTTGAGGGTATGTCTGTTCGGGCATTGAAATCCCCTGTCAGAATTGTTGGTACATCTTGTTTCACCTTCTCCAGTCACCCCCAAATTCCCCGTGTGATGTTAGCGGCCGAGATACCACGGCCCTCGGAATCACAGGGATCCATCCTCGCGACGTGGATGCGCGAACCATCGAGAACTGCCTTTTGCTCGAGCCACGAAAAGGAAGTCCGTAGAGCGAAAGTAAAAACTTTGATCCTCGCCTTCCAGTCATTTTGGACGATTGCTGCTCCGGAGCGACTTTGATTCATCCATGAGACATTTCTTGTTTTACTACGAGAAGATGCACACAGCAATGAAGTACTAATGAATGTACAGTGGAATAAACGTCTGATGTTCCCGAAAATCAGCCGTGTATTTCTCCTGTTCAGAAATGTTCAGTTTTTATCGATTAACATCGATTTTATTAAAATAATTGTGATCGGTGAAAAAATACCAGATCAGGCAAAAAAGCAACGCGCCGCTCTTTTTGATTCTTTGGAGTTCCTGAGAAAGAAGACAGTACGGCAATTTTTTTTGCAACGACTTCTATGTATCCTTTACTTCTCCTCGTGTCCAATATATGTTAATTTTTCTCCAGCCGTTTTATCACAGGAGCGGGAACGCGAAGGCAACTCGATTTTTATTTTTGCG